GAAGTATCATAGAATATAATAGAAGCGACAGTTCTTTGAATTCCTTTGTTCACCAAAAAATATTTTCATTGACTATGAAATCCACTGTTATCATTTTTTCTATTGATAATTGACGGCACGGACAAGATATCTTAGTCCTTAATCGGTGGGATGTCGGTAAAGTTTCTAGATAATTATATTATCCATAAACATTTGGACGCCAGAACGTTGTTTGATATGAATACAACATGATGTCTAGCTTCCAGAGTATTCGATGCAAACATCAACCGAATCTCCAGAGAAATATAAACAAAAAAATCAAGTATGTCCTGTTCACTTAAAGTCCACCACCATTATCTTATAACGGATCTCGGTTAATTTCAAATTCTTTATATATCTCTTCTTTACGAATTTCCCAAAATCATAAGATCCAAACCCAATGGCGTTCATCATCAAATATCCCGAGGAGGACCTGTGACCGGTGCCTCTTGGCAATTGTTATCGATAAGTTTATAAATAGTATCTATGATTTACAGAATTCATTCTCCTGTGGTAAAGTTTTGTCCATGAGAAATGAGATTAGCTAACAAAATAATTTTAATATAAATTAATAATTATAATATTTTATGTATACATTTATAATAGACAAGGAAAAGCCTGGAAGGAGGACATGTCCACCTCTTGTCCTCTCCCCCAATAGATGCTCTTGTTAGTAACAACATTATTTGTTTCATTTACGATCGTTTAGTAACCCTCGTTTTTATTTCTCATTGAAAATTGTATAATTATAAATCTTGAAATATTAAGTTTTATTATTTTTATTCTGAAATACAAAAAGCAATTTTTTTTTGTTTACAAAATATTTTTGGTTACTAAATTTAATTTATACACAGATATTTTTTAATTCAACGTGCAAAATATGAAATAATATATGCTAAAAATATTTTATTTACTGTTATAAATTACTAATGTTTACTACGATAATGAGCTTATACAAAGTACAGCTCTTAATAACCTGTTGATATTAAAACGGTATGGTTATACTTCAGTTCTGTTAAAAATAATAAAAGACCGCCGTAGGTAGTTGATTACAGGTTTTACTTCATATTAAAGGTTATAAATGGTCTTGTTACTCTTATTCATACAAATAAGAATACTTAATCTCTATTATGTACCACTAACACTTAAACCTTGTACTTATATTAAATAATTCAGGTGACAAGCTAAATATATATATAATACACCTCACACGAGCTTACATTATTTGCTTGGTGTGCAGATGAGATTTACTTTTGCGTTTGAACCACATTTGTGCGGTCGTTATTGTTACTACTTATACATTATATCAATGGTTTTCAACCGGGGTGACATGTCACCCAAGGGTGACATGGACACAGTGTAGGGGTGACACGAAATCTCCACAGGAAAAGGAAAAAAATTAGAAAAAAATTAATTTTAATAAAACCATATTATTACCACAACAGTCATGTAAATAGCATACCTTTAAGTTTACATCTTTATATTATTTAGATCCAATGAATACGTGCAGTATTGTTATTAACGCAAAATCGATGTATTATCGATTTTTTTATCGATTTAACCGGGGTCGTTAGTTATTTTACAGTCGTTAGATATGTAGTATTATTATATACAAATAAAATAAATAATAAGTATAAAAATCTTTAAAAAATTTTCTCTTTTTTTTTTTTTAATTTTAAGTATAAACTTTATAATATTAATGTTTATTGAACAATGCATCTCAATAAATTGTAGGTGTTCTACTGTTTTCTTCTGTTATTATTCTTCTGTTTTTATTGTTTTTGTTATTTCAAGAATTATTCTAAAATACACAGTTAAGATTATTTATTATTTTGATGTTAGGGTGACGCGGTGTTTAATTCTAGTGGCTAAAGGTGACATGAATGAAAAAAGGATAAGAATCACTGCATTATATATTAAAAAATTGTGGATACATTGTATATTAATTATTTATTGTACGATTCTTAGATTGATTTTACAAAATCCTGTTATAATATTAACTTAGGCTTTCAATCTGAAAAAATAGGTTTAATTATCGATTATAATGGTTACCTTTAAATAATAATAAATTAAATTATTAAATAAAATACATTTTTGTACTATTTTTTATTATTTTAAAAAAGATTCTAACACCTGAATAGCTTGCTTTAAAATACGAATATTATTGATTTATTATTTTATACTTATTATAGATGTATTTTAATACATGTAATTTATGTATTTTAATAAAAGTATAATACAAGTATAATATTTAAGTTTTAAAATTGTTCTTATTTTTTACTTTCTTGTAAATATACTCTGTTCTTATAACTATTACTAGATTATGGTATTATTCATAGATAAACAATTAATAATTAATAGTCATTAAATATTATATTATAAGTACAGTAAATTTATATTTATAGATCTTCATTAATATAGTAAGTATAGTAATTTGAGTCATTGCGAACAATAATTTATTGCAGATTCCGTTTTCTATCAATCATATATTTATGTGTCATTGTCAAAATAAATTTTATATTATGATTGGAATATAAATATACAAATATTTGTGATACTAATTACTAGTATTATATAAACTAGTAAAACAAAAAGTAAAAAATACTAAAATAAAACTTACAAAGTAGGTAGTTAACATTTTTTTAAAATGTAAATATATAAATAAATTTATATATATATATATAAATAAATATTAAAATTGATATTTATAGTGATAAATTTAATTTTAAAATTTAACACATTTTTTATGTTTATGAATGAATTTTAAATTAAGTTAAATTATTATGTTCATATATTTTATGGTAGTTTAAATAAGTAATATTTTCATTTTTATTATAGGTCTTAATTAAATTCCATAATTTTATTACTATGTCTAAGAATCATACCTTACGTCTTGTAAATTATGTATGAGAATGTTTTTCATTGATAATTGCATGCTGGCACCTCAACAATATTTTAAATATATAATTTTATCCCAATCTATTTAATATTTTCGAAATGTACAGTATAAATTATAAAAATGTATAAATGCAATTATATTTTATATTGATGAAAATAATTTATTAATTTAATTTCAATTTCTGTGAATATTTATGACCAATGCATGTTCACTTAAAAATGTAGGATTATTGCTAAGCTTATCTTTTGGCACAGTTTTAAATCTGTTTCGAGATAATTTACATTTACATACGGTTCAAGATGAATGCGATAGGACCAGGGGCGGACTGGCCTGGCGGGACACCAGGACAAATCCCGGTGACCCATTACAATAATAGATTAAATGGCCTAATAATATATTAGAAATTAAAAATATAGTATTACGATATTTTAATCAACAGAATTGGGGAACCTAATGAAGTTACGAAAAAAAACCTTATTATGTAAAAAAGGAATTAGATACTTTTAGAGTTAATTTTAATACATAGGTATTATAATAAAATGTGTAAACTGTATCTATAAAAAAAAAATTTCTTATATATTATGTGTAATTTTATATATCTACATAAAATGTTGAAAATATTTTTTAAATAATAAAGGTTTTTTATCATTATTATTATTTTTGCATACTTATGAATAGGGCTCGGAAGTTATTGCATTTGCATGTTTTTTTGCACCATTGGATTTATTGCTAAGTGAGTTAGAAATTCATTCCAAGACACTACGAAAAACATATCAAAAGTTTTTAGAGCATATTTTTTCATACTTAGTGATTTTTAGATTTTAGAGCATATATCTTGATTTTACATTTTTTAGAGCATATTTTATGATTTTTGAAGATTCAGTATGAAAATTCGAAAAATAAAAAAAATAAATACATTCATATTGAAAGAATTTTTTTGATATTCTTAGATCGTATTTTTCAAATTTCCATTTAACATTAAAAACAATCTTTTTCCCCTATTGGTTAATATAATATATATATTTATAAATTATAACTACAGCTAGCTTTATCTAAAATAAAGTATTATACAAATATCAAATAGGAACAGCTGCTATCGAAATACGATGATTTTCTATAAATACTTTTCTAGGAAAATAACTCAATGATTATTGAACATTCTACAAGTACATTCTTTTTATTCAAGAAACATTTTAATACTATTTTATTATTATTTTAAATTATGATTAAAAATTAAAAATCAGAATTATTTTTATTACTTTGCTTTTTTTATATTTATAGTTTTATAAAATATTTGTGCAAAAATTTGCCGAAATTTGTCACACATAAGGCGATGATAGACATAAAACTAGGCACTACATTTATATATTTGGTATAGATCGCGTTTATTGTCATATCCATTTAAACTTAATGAGATTATCGTGACAAATCTAATTTCAATAAATCACGTAATATAGTGAACTTTCGTCAGTGAAATGTTATCAAAAACCATCGAAAATATCAATATCTAGTAGTAAGAGTGGAGACAAATCACTGAAAGTAAAAGAATAAGCCGTTGCATTTTAAATTTAACAAGCTCAATACGGTTAAAAAACATTGATACAATAATTGTTACAGTTATGAAACATGGTGCGTTTCCTTCATTATTTAGATAACACAAATGAAGATAATGGCGAAAAAAAAACCAATTAATTCAATATTGAAGTTCACACAATTTTAAATACTCGAATTATTGTTAGCACACAAATTATTAAGTTTGATTTTTTTTTCTATAGAACTCAATATCTTGAACTCCTCTCCATTATCCCTTTGTGGTACGACCCAACGAGAGTTGACCGCACGCGTGCCCAGTCGATTAACTATTCAAATACGGCTATGGAAACGTTTACTGCCATTCGGTCGGTCACAAACATGCAGTTTAAACCGTACCGCGTGAAGCAAAACGATACTAGACGGTGGACAACGACGAATGTGTTGCGCGCGCTCGTGCGTAGAGAGGTTTCTTTAACGGTAGTCGTACGGTGTGTAGTGAAAAAAAAGAAAAAATAAGAAAAAAAATCAAATAAACACTCGTCAAACTTACCTGGAACAAAATATTACGGTAGACTCCGGCTGCGGACGATCGGAGTTGTCGTCATCTCAGCGTCCGGAAAAATAAAATAACATCGTTATATTTCACGTGAGAAGATACCTTTGGCCGTACGAGTGGACGTACCGCGCGCACTACAACGTTACGTTTATAAGTCTTTTTTACGAATTTTTTACGCGTTCGAATGCACTAACCGTACACGACCGCCGATGCCGAGCAAAAAACGTTCACACGGTCGGACCGATGCAACCGGTCTGTGCGGACGACGATGCTGCCGTAGCCGCCGTAAAAACGTTCGGTTTTCTTCTTCATCCTGTTTTTCTTAATACACATGTGATTCCGTCGCGCCGTCGTCGTTGTTGTTTTTCTCTTTTTTACCATTTCTCTTGGCGCTCGCGCGCGTACTCGTTGTCGTGTTATGCGGTCGATTTGTCGGGGGACGGATGTCGTCGCGACCGGTGGATGGGAGACACAGTGCAACAACTGGGTAAATAGTTGTTGCCCAAAAAATTAACGCTCTCGCCAGTAGTATACTAAGGGGCTTCCGAGTCAGTTTTATATTATTTTAAAAATTGCACTCGGAAACCCCTTTTACACACTACTCCCGCACGTTCGATTTGCCTTATGTGAACAACGATTTTTTCGCGACTTTTCACCCGTATTTCGTATGTACTTTAATCCTAATGAACGCCACTCGTGATGGAGTCACCTCGGTACGCATACTTTGACCAATGACCACGTAACATTTCGTGTTTAACACTGTTTGCTGTGCCTACCAATAAAAGAGAGACGGATTTACACAAACCCCGTCTGGGGTAGCGTTTTTTTGTCGTCTGTAAAGTCAATTTTTTTTTTCTCATCCTAGGTTGAAAATTAAATTTTAATATTATTTTTCGTACTATATATTACTAATATTATTAAAATTATTACTAACGTATCAACTCGAAAGATGTTAAAGATTAACAAGTATGCTAACATTTTGGGTTTCACTAAAACATTTTAAAGTTGAAACTAATTATTTATTAAATAAACATCTATTTATAAAATGTTTAGTATGCAAGCCAGCTATAACTTATAATTTTTCGACGACCGCCTATTTCACGCCTAACACAAAATCTATTAAAATCTTTATATTGCAAATATCAATTTTACTTAACTCGTGTTATAATTTTAAGTATAGTAAAATGTATGTAGAAGCAGTGCTCGAAGTGGGGAGGATACGAAGGGATGGCACCATTTACTTTAGTATATTTACAGTTTTCATCCCTCTACTTGTTTTGTCTAGAAAAAACGCATTCCTTCTAAGACTTGTATTTTAAAATGATATACTTATCATTTTTATATTTATATATGACATTTTTTTTTCAGTGAAAATAATTATTTTTAACATTCAGGCCCGGGCGCCCGGCTTATCGTGTAGTTTAGTATAAGCCGTTTCGCAACTCGTATTATACCCATATTTAGAGCCACGGACTAAGATAATATACTTCGTGTGAACTATAAAAAAAAAAAAATATAGGTACATAAGATGTGAAGAATGTTATGATGATATCAGGAAATTTGAATTATAAGGCATCCCTCCACTTATCTTGAGCCATTTCGATCACTGTATAGAAGTAGAATGCAATAAAGGTAAATCGTAATCTTTTAAACTTTAGACTAATTCAGTAGTTCTGCAAATTATTTATAAGTACATACCTACTTTATAAAGTACTAATTTATCATATAAATATTACATTTATAAACATTTGTATAAATAAATCTATTGGCTAATACATTTTAAAAACAATAATATATAAATCAATAATTAGAATAATTAGTCAACAATTTATTATTTTTGAAATACTATATTCCTAATTTATTTACATTGTTCAAAGTAAGATATAATGAAGTAAATACTTTTTTAATATTTAAATATAGATAAAAAAATAAAATAAAATCAGTTTTTTAAGTGTAAATGTTACCTATTAATATTTTTAAAATCTGAGAAAAAGAAATGATTACTGCATACTCTCCTGTATTTTGTAAGAACCAGTGCTGGATTAAGGGGGGGAGGCAAAGGAGGCAGTTACCCCAGCTGCAATTTTTTGATGGCATAAACAACAATTTTGATGATTTCTTATATATTTACTAGTTATTAGGAAAAATTATTAATTTATTATTGAAAAATTAATAATTCAAAAACTTGGTAAAATAATAAATGAAACCAAGATGTGTAAAAGAGCACAATAAAAATATGGGAATAGTTGATAAAACTGATATCTACGTTACCAAGTAATGTAAAAACAATAAAATGGTACAAACATTTTTTTTTCCATTTGATACATTTATCTTTGTTAACTAATAATGATTGGCACATAATTTATGAATCATATGAGTTCCTAAAATATTTCTAAAAAATAAGTAGTGAAAAACTGTTTCAATTTATATATCTGTTGTATTAATGCACTTATGAAACGTTGTATTTAACTTAGATACACAATACTATAAAGTTACCAGAATTGACAGTTAAAGTTTTAAATTAAAACAAGTTGAATTAAGATTTGGGACACTTGAAATAAAACCAATTTTTGTAGAAGATATGATACTTGACCCAAGGTTTAAGAAATATGAATTCTTAAATGTTGCCTAATTTAAAAAAGTGAAAAAATGAATAGTTAATCAAGCTAAGAATGTAAATATTGAAAATTATACACAATCAGTTATAATCAATCAAATTTCTGTTGATGAGTATGTAGGTAGTGTAACAATGTATACAAATTCCACAGCTGTATCTATAACTGAACTAGAACTGGATAAATATCTGCAAGGCCTGCAAGTTACCAAAACATGAAGTGGTCGGATTTTTATGGATTAATTTCCTATATTATATGTAGAATGCGCTTCTATGGATTTTAGTATTTAAGAAGCCACGAAAATCGCCTATATGTGCAAAAATTATAGAATTCTCAGTAGCAAAAGGGCCTATATCATATGGACGAAGCATCATACTTTTTATTATCATTCATACTTAATCATTAAATTAGATTATAATCAAAATATGTTATATCATATAACATCTGCAATTATATCTTTTCTTATTCAATAAACAAATATGATACACCTACAAGAGCAACAGGTTTTTATTTTCAAATTTTACAGTGGAAGAAGGGCCCATGTAACTCCAAAAGACATTGTAGTTAATATTAAGTAAAACACTGTTTTTCGGCGCTCCTGAAGAGTTAAAAAATCAGACATAAGCCCTTATTTAGCGGAACCATTCAATTATAAATTGTTCAATATAGTAATACAATTAGTTGATTATTTAAACACTAAGTATATAGATATTAATAATTCATTAAAAAAAATTTTTTACAAAATAAAGGAAAATAAAGTAATATATTATTAAACTACATATAATAAAAATAAAAAATTTTATTAATTCTTTTAGGGTTTAATATTTATGAAAAAAAAAACTTAACAAGAGTAAAATAACACATGAAAATAAATTAGAAGCCTATGTTAACATCTTCACTGTTGTTGCTGCTTTTATCGGGATTAATAATTAGGATAATAGGTTCTATCGTCCTGTAAACCATGCATAATAAAATTGTTATCGAGCAATAATACACAGTGATTGATACAATGTTATTATTGATACTCATTGATCTTAATCTGCATTCCATTTCAAACAAGTTCCGGATCTCCTGTTCAAGTCTTCTTATTGCATTGCATGTTTCTTTAATACTTCAATTTGAAATAACTCTCAAATTAATCTCAAAAGATATACAGTTCCGTAGATAATGCTCGAATTTACCTCTCCACAGATCTGAAACAATTTAAATATGTAATTATAAGATTGACAAATAATTTAAATACAAGCAATTATTGAATATCAATTTCAATTTAATTATATAATAATGTTGGAAATTATATAAAAAAGAAGGAAAGGTGTGGTAAAGTGGCAAACGTTATATACCAA